AAATGTCAACATTGCATTTGTTTGGGGGGGGGGGTGAACTACCCCTTTAAAGGCTGTATGACTCACTGAAGACCCCAGATAAACTCGACAGCTAGATAACCGTGTATCTCAGTGAGTCCAGCCGCATTTCCAGGACACGGTGTTTGTTGCGTGCATTCGTTTCTGGAAAGGGCCTTTGCGGGTTTGTCTGGGCCCGCGACACACCTCCCTTTGACATTGACACACATTCTCCACAGCCACGGCGCGTAAATGAACAGAGATCTGCAGAACCGCGGAAAAGCCCACGGCTGGAGGCGCAGCCCGCTGCGTGAGCCAGAGCTTTGCTCTTAAAATTCAACTTCACATCAACAAAATGCAACACATACGCATGTCTCCTGCGCAAGATCTGCACAATCCACGAACAAAGACCACCATGAGTTAAACGACATGTTATATCTCATGTTAAATAACGCTTGCGCACTCACAGCCCATGCATCCACCCAAAACTCTTGGAGAAATGTGGGCTGGTTCTGTACTGCTCGCAACCTAAAGGATAGGCTATAAGCATTCATGGCTCATATTAAGCAAGCTGGATTTAATGCTGCTTTATGTTTACAAGTTCCCAGCCGCTGGAACAGATTAGGGTCACGTCTCGTGTGTCGTTTAAAACGGATACTTACGGAACTATCAGCATTTATGGTCTATGCATATTTACGTTTTATTCCATTGTGCACAACAACCGCAGTTATAGGCAATACATTGTTGCAGGCAATAAAAACATTAATGCGACACATTAATATTGCATGCATTATATTGCACAACTTAATATTGCATGCATTATATATATATATATATATATATATATATAGGTAGGCTGTTATAAAGCCTTAAGAAATTTCACTTACCTCTTATGCAAAATAATTATGATGTCGGTGTGCCCAATTTCCCTAAAATACAGAAATAAGCAAAAGTCGACACTCCTTTGTCTGTGAAATATATATGTATTTTTCTCAGTCTTGACCCTGGGTCGCTCCCAGCGCTCTTGAGCTCGCACTTTCTTTCCAGCAGCGTTTGTTATTTTCTCTCCCTCTTTTCCGCACTGTCTCTATTACCCCGTTTTTGTTCTTTCTGAAGCCACAGAAAAAAATCGAACAAAAAAATATGGAGCAGTCAATCAAATAAGTCGACTTGAGTTATGGATGGGGGAGCGTAAAAGTATCCATGGAGCTCGAGTCGCCGATGCTGAAGCGTTTAGAGCAGTTATGTGGCGTATGTGTTACAACTTGCTATATCTGCCTACAAACCCATCAACATGTCGATAAACAGACGCTAAAAGTCGACGAAAGCCCGCTCTTCTGAATCGGCTGCCCCTGTTTTTGGCAATGGTTCGCTCCCGTTGTTCAATCGTCTGGTGGAACAAAACGCGTTCGCATTCCAAGGTTCTGGTTACAGCTGCGCTGCAGACTTAAGCACTAGCTTCGTGTGATTCGAGCCGCGTTAGAAGATATAAATACACTAATCTCTCATTTCTTGCAGAAATGCACAGGATATGCAAAATGGGTTCGACGAGTGATTTGTAGAACGAATGGAAAAGTGGACGCTCCTCATAAAAGCTCGCCTCAGGCAGTCCAGTAGAGCTACTGATGGAGAGTAGCCTATGTTTTTGTATAGGCTACACAGTTACAGAATAATTAAAACCTCTATACAAGGACACTTTATCACAACCGTTTCTCTGTCAGATGAAATCATGTTTCATGAAATCAAATTTTCTCTGAAAATGTACCATAGTTTCATATCATAACAAAAATAAAAACCGGTATTCGGTATGAACCGGTATACCGCCCAGCACTAATAGTAACTACTGTAGCCTATTTGTATTAAGACAAAAAAGTGAAAACATCAGTAGGACTAGCATGCTATTAACAAATATTATCAGTAGATTTCTATAATAAAATATATACTATATGTGTAAAAGTATCTCAAATCATTGCAGCTTTACAAGTGCTTTTTTTTTCGAACATAGAGACTGAATATAATAGTTTGACTAACTGAAACTGTAATGTTGCCAGAAATGTTGTAGATTCATATGAATTACCCTATTAATGTTTCACAGTTTGTCTAATGTGCATGAGTGTAATGCAACAGCAGATTTGCATTGAGTTGTCACACGGGCAGCATCAAAGATCTGTACCAAAAAATAAACAGATTTCTGGGTTACTAGATTGAGTATTAGTCTACCTTTGACAATGGCTGTATCGGAAGGTGATTGGGAGTTTATTATTGAGAACGGTTATACACTTGATTCTTGTCATGAAATCAAATTGCGTGCATTTAAATGGTTATTAATCTACACTGAACCCAAACCACAAAGTGTTGCTATGAACTGTTTTACAGCTGCCAGGTGTAATTAAAAGGCAGATTTCATCACTCACTTTCACACTGCCTGAATATAGATATATATATACTTTGGCGATTATAGCATTCACACAAGAAAAGTCACCCAAAAATAATCATTTAACTTTCTTCTGCAGAACACAAATATATTTTAAAGAAAGTTAGGAGTCCAAATAACATTGCACACATTGATTTGTATTGTATAAACAACAGAGAGAAAAAAAAGATGTTCCACTGTTTTTTCTTCTTCTTCTTTTTCAAAATATAGAAAGTGGCTGATTTGGCAGCGGCATGAGATTGAGCTTTTAATTTTAGCAAGTTTATAGCAACACTTTGGGGGTTGGGTTCGGTGTAGATTAATAACAATTTGGATGTAAATGAAATTTGCAAGTCTCAAATTGTTCTCAATAATAAACTCCCAATAACTATTGTATATGGTCATTATCAAAGGTAAAACTCAGAAATCACTTTTTTTTTGGCAGATCCATAATGCTGTCCTTGAAAACTCAACGCTTAGACTTCTGCATCTAGGCACACTATGCAAAATATGTTTAATAGCTTAATAATATAAATCTACATTTCTTCTCAAATTGCACAGTTTCAGTTAGTCTTACTGAAGTCAAATCATGGTAAACTTGGATATCATTTGCAGCCCATATAGTGACTAAGCCACGTGTAAAGCTCAGTTCAGCGGGTTCAGTCAGTCCAGGAGCATGTTGGGAAATATTCAGGGTTTCACGGCCCCCTTTAACTCAGCTATATGAGAAGCTTAGATCCCTGTTGCACAACGTGAACCTTTACAGAAGATAACACTTAACTGACCTCAGGATTTGTGCTGAAAAACAACATCTGCCAGCCACCATGTGCCTTTTCTCCACGATTTACGAGAGTCTGTAGACTCGTGCTAAACCTGATAACAGAAAGCAGCTGTTTTTCCAACACACTTGAACATATCAAGATTAACTCCACATGCAAAGCCAAAATGGCCGCTTACACATTTTGAGTCAAGATGAAGCCCATTTAATTTCCAAAATGTGACGTCTGTGCATGAGCAGCGCATGATCGACAGATTAGCTTTGCAGGAGTGAAAAGAGTCTGAAATCATGCAGGAATGAAGTGAGCTGGTTTTCTGAAAGCACAGCTGAAGCTCTGACTTGAACATTAATCAGCAAATGTGAAGGTCAGAGAGTCAGCGCAGCCACAGCTCAAACGATCTCAACTTTAGACGGATGATCACCATCCCTTTGAAATCAGTGGAGTTGTGAAGGCAGTGTTTAGGCACCTTGAAATAGACGATTCAACTAAAAACACATTTCAGGGACCTGCTTTTATCCTTTGGGAATCGATTGGATGGTGAAAAGTGGGTGTTGCACAGCAGATTTTAAAACACCAGCGGGATTTAATCATAATGACAATAAAGCACAAATGAAAAAATATATAGGCCTACATATGTAATATTCTAACATTATTTTATTTTACAAATTTTCTTTTGCAATTATATAAGAATTTTATGTTTAATATTTGATTACATTTGAAAATGTACAGTTTTAACTAATGTCCTTTCTTTCTTTCAAAATCAATCATAATTAAGAATATCAATACACAAAGAAAATGATATGCAATAATTTAAAAAATATTTTCTTAAAGGGGTCATATGATGCGATTTCAAGTTTGTAGAAAACGAAGCGTTTGAGAGAGGCGGGGCATAGAGGACCTACAATAATGTACAGTATTTGAAAAATAATGTGTTTTTTGAACATTAAAGCATGTCAACATATTCTGTTATACCAAATACACAAAATAATGATCTTTAAAAAAGCATCATATGACCCCTTTAAAATGATTAAAACCTTAACAATTATGTAAGGAATTTCAGTTTAAAATTTGATTTATTTGTTTGTTAGATTTTGATTATAGAATTAAAATGATCATAACAATAAAACATTAATAAATAAAAACATACAATAATATTAATATGATTTATTAATAATATCGTCTTAAAACAATATAAAAACAATTTTAGTTTAATATTTGATAAAAATCTTCACTTTTAACTTAGTGTCATTTATTTTTATTATTTTTGTATGTATTCATTCATTCATTCATTTATTTCATATCAGATTAGAAATGAAAATAATCATAAAACTTAGGGAGAAAAAAATTAATAATAATAATAATAATAATAATCAAGTGTAGTGTTAGTTCTGGCAGGTCACTCACTTTAACTCTAAGCTGATCCACGTCTACCCAGTCCAAAACCTTTCTCAGCACCCATATACGTCCTTCAGTATTATCAGCTGCTTTCACGTTGCTTAATAGCTAATTACCCTCCTCCATCCCCAGCTCCACCTCTCGTTCAGACAGGATTCAGCCTTCTGATTCTCCTTTGAATCAGACTAATAATCAGTTTTGATTTCATGTCGACCTCGTTCTTTTTTGGGACTCAGATTCAAATCGTATAAGCTACTTTTCGCCTCATGTTCACAAGTCTGAATTAATGAGAAAGAAAGTGTCTTTGTGACTTTGTTGAACTGTAGATGTAGTGTATGACACAAACCCGCAGACTGTTTAGAGTGTGCCACTATTTCAGTCATACACAGTGTCTGCTAAATTAAAGTGCCCTATAGAAAGTAGCAAACAATGTGACCCGTCGCCAAAGACCACAGTGAACGCCGGCTAAAATTACACACAACAATGCAGGAGCACACAAACGCAAACACACACTGCAGTTTGGCAGGAGCTGATGTGGACTCAGGAAAACACTTCTCAGTTTCAATGGCATCGTGTTTGAAGCCCAGCGGTCAGATGTTTGGCCGGAAAAGGAGTTTATTTTGATTTTGATAAGGATTTCTCTCTGTGAGGCGCCGTTTCCAGAACACAGGGGTATTTTATCCAGTCACAGGCTGTGCTGGAAAAGCTGATTTAGACTAAATGTGCTGGCTAAATGACCGTTAAAGGAAAAGTTCACCCAAAAAACGTTCGCTCATCCTTGTGTCATTCCAAACCTGTATGACTTTCTTTCTTCTGTTGAACTTAAAAGACCTTATTTTGAAGAATATGAGTAACCAAACAGCTGCTGGTAGCCATTGACCTCTATAGTATGGAAATAAATACTATTGAAGTCAATAGCTACCAGCAGCTGTTTGGTTACTCATATTCTTCAAAATAAGGTCTTTTAAGTTCAACAGAAGAAAGAAACTCGTACAGGTTTGGAATGACAAGTAAATGATGACAGAATTGACATTTTTTCTTGGGTGAATTATCGCTATAACTTTAATGAAGGAAAGATGTACAATCCCATGAAGCATTGCAAATGATAGACAGTAATAGAGAAAAAAAGAAAAAAAAAGAATGGATACATGATTAAGATGAGTTTAAGATGTTGATCATGTATATAGAAACAATATATTTAAAATATGTTGCAAAATATACATATGGGTCATTCCTGCGATTCAGTACCTTTTTGACATCATAACACTCAAAAAACTAAACTAAACTATCAATTATTGTGTAATCATGATAGGGAGCTGTAAAACGTGTGAAAAATAATTTTGGTATATAAATATATGGTATATACAACCTTAGGCATATAAATTCAAGCAATTATGAGCCAAATTAAATGCGAAGGAGGACGAAAAATGTCCACCCTGTTAGGTACAAATGAACAACTATTTTAAATATTTATGAATATGTAAAATGTAATATTTAAAATAAAAATAAAAAGTTTAAATGGACCACTTCTTCAACTTAAACATCAATTGCTGTCACTATCATTATGTACAAATTAACAAAACAGAGGCACTCACTCACCTTCCCGAGTTGATTTTCCTTCAAGGAAATTATGTCAGCTGTTTGAAAAGATGCAATTTCCTTTTTCCAACTTCCATTTAAAGGGCCAGTAATCGCATATAATAGGGTGGACAATATTTTGAGGGACAAGCTAAAAAAAAGTTTATATATATTAGTGCTGTCAAACGATTAATCTCGATTAATTGCATCTAAAATAAAAGTTTTTGTTT